AAGCCATTGTCTGTGGGAGGGTTTGAGGGTGGTTCTCACTTTTCTAAGAAGAAAAAACTGGAAATGTACAAGGAAAAGGGACTTACAGGTGAATTTAAATAAACCTAACCGCAGAAAGGACAGGGGAGCAGAGGCACTCTGAGGAACTGCCCCAAACACGCCCCTGATTTGAAGCCAAAAATCCCAGGGGTCCAAAGGGAAGCAATGTAAGCAAGGAAACATCTAAACAGCTGGCCCAAGGCTGAAAGACTAAAGGGAGCAAACATTAACGTTTGAGACAGACTATCCTTTACAGAAGTAAAAGAGATCATTAAATGGGCAATAACCATCTTTCTCCTAAGTTGACCAGGGTAGAGACAAATAGAAGAAGGCTGCGTTTGTAGCCGTTCCCCGAAGACCATTACTGGGAAAACTTAACTATTGTGATACATAGAAAGTCACCACTGAGGGACCAGTTTCCTCTGTTGGAGAACGTTAACCAGTAAGAGTCGGGGACACTCTCCCCGACACGTATTTGACAATGACGTGCCCTGAGGACCTCTCTTCTGGGTCCAAGAATTTTTTTAGATCAAGAGAATTTTAAAAAATCACTGGGAAATGTTTCTAATTTGTGGCATCGCTATTGTTTCAAATGTTATATAGTGTGTGAGTGGATGCACTGAAACAGAAAAGGGAGATGGTTGATATACACTTCTGGTCTTCCAGGGCCACTGGATTATAAAAATCCAAATTTAGATAACATTTCTCGTCATTCAATATTAAAACCTCACCCTAGAGCAATCCATTCTCCTGCATTTCTAAACACTCTCATGTATATCTTATAAGCCTTCACCAGTTCTGTACCCTGCAATGCTCTATGATGGAAATTAAGGGAAAAAAGAAAGAGATAAATCCCATACGTACATGAGCTGCCCGGATGACAGTGAGCCTCTGGGTACCGTCTGCCCATAGCGACCAGTCAGCACATTAGCAGGGGCCCCAGCAGTTTCCAAGTACTCAGGAAAGACTGAGATGGTTAAGCTGTAGTGGAGGGGAGACAAAAAAAAAAAAAAAAAAAGGAGAAATAAAACAGATTCGGGATAATGATTGCATTTTTCATTAAAATGCTAATGATGACCACAAATTTCCAGATAACCAGGTTTATGAATTATTCATAGTCACATCCGAGATGAAGTTTCCCTGTCACTGCCGGCAGGCACAGAGCTTGGCTGATGATTAGCATGTGGCCCCTGCACTAAGTGACAGAAGCACAGGTCACTGCAAGTCCACCCATCAGGGTTGGCCCCACTGACCCTCTTTCGAAGACCAGACAATCCCACCTGTACTTTGCTGATGCTCTGCCATCTCACTCTTCCTTAACTAAGGAAAAGCACTAGCCTGGTTCTCTGTGGTGACATCTGAACTAACATCTTGTAAAAACTCTAAAATCTTGAAAGGAAAAATGAAATTCTCGGTGTCGGGTAGAGAAGACATCAAATTGATTTTGTTTAACTTTTCAATGAGGTATAACATAAATATAGAAAAGTACACATACCACGTGTGGACAGTGAATTTTCCTAAACTAAACACACCAGACTAAAACCCAGAACACTATCAGCATCCTAGAAACCCTCTTTGTGCCCCCTCCTAAACGTAACTACGAGGCATAAATTATCTTTGCCCATTTTTGTAGACATCAAATTGACTCACTGTCCTTATTAAGTTTTCATTTAAAAAAAAAAACATTTAACACCTACTATATGCGAAGTACTGTGCTCGGCACTGGAGCTACAAAGATGAGTAAGACACTGTCTCTGTCTTTAAAGAAAGCAAAGTCTAGTGGGACCAAGAAACACACAAAACTGACCCCAAAGGGCAGTAGGATGAGTGCGATGACTGAGATTCATGGCAAACGGCCCAGAAATGGAGAAGTCAGAGAAGACTTCCAAGCAAAAGGGATGGTGGGCATGTCCTCAGGCTGAGTAGGACTCAGCCAAGCTGGGAATGGGAGACAAGACAATGGAAAAGGAAGAAGGAAGAAAGTGCACGGTGTCATTCAGTGTTGCTGGACTCTCCAGGATAAGGCCAGGAAAGAAGCCTGGAGCCAGACTGTAATCTTCTCACATATTCAAGAGCTTCAGACTGGTTGTAGACAGCCAGATCTGGGTTTCGGATCCGTTACTCTCTCTGGGTGGACTCAAAGAGGGCAGAGTAGAGGCAGGAAGACCAGTTAGGCCAGTTTGGCTGTTAGGAAGGAGAGGAAGGGTGAAGATCAGGGCAGTGGAAGGAGGTGGGGAAGGGAAAAGGAGACAAGAATTAGTACTTGGACACTAAAAGCAGAACAACATGGTAACTGACATGTGGGTAGATGGCAGTGACAACTGAGGTAGAGAACACTGGTGAACAGACAAGTTTTAATAAGGAAGTCAAGGGGTTTAGTTTGATGCATTAAAAATTGAGAGGTAGAAGATTAAGGTGGGGACACCCAGATGGTCCTGAGTGTGAAGTTTGGGGAAGAAACCTGAGCAAAACATAAAAGCAGATGGTCATGACATGGAAAGCAGGAGAAATTAGATTAGTGGGTGATATTCCTGAAGGAATATGGGTAGAGTCAGAAGATTAGAGGGTCAGTGCCAAAAGCAGAGCCCTAGGGAACATGAACAGTGACAGAACAGACAGAGGGAAAAGGTCTTAAAACACCAAGGAAGAAAGGCAGAGAGGTACCATGGCAGCCAATGAGATGAACAAAGAAATGAAAACTCTACCTTTGGATTGGACACGTAAACAGTCACTGGCCACCTTGATTGAAGGTGGCTTCACTAAAGTGGTGGAGGCAGAAATAACGGGGCAAGTGACAGAGAAGAGGAAGGAGAATGACCAGATGTTAGAAGGGATAAGTGCTAATGGAAGTCCATACGGATAGGATGGAGTCAGCAGAGAAAGGCTGAGAGTACAAGAGGGAGGAGGTGAGGATGGAGTAAGATCCCAAAGGAGGTGAGTAAGATCCCTATAACCATCTGATATTAGAAGAAAATCAGGATTAGAAGAATAAAGATCAATCTGGTTATAGTAAGTTTGCAGGTTAACATTGGGATGCTGGCGACAACAGAGCAAACGCCATCAATATTGCAGGTAAAACAGCTGCCGGGGCTCTTCACTGAGAAGGAGCTGACGTGCAAAAGGTCTGATGACAGCGATCCTGAAAATCTTGGTTTCCATCATGCTACAGTCTACAATGAAAGTAGTCTAACCCTGTTTTAAGGTAAACAAACACATAGGAAAGGGGCATCTGGAAGGTACACACGCCCACAGTGGAACTTATTAGCACCAAAGAAGACCGCAGAAGCACGAGATTCAGAAGAATGTTCTTAAAATGATCCTTGGTCTCGGGTGCCCACCCTTCCAAAGGTTTACACATCACGTCATTAAATGAAACCACTACCCACTATCCTACAAGGCTTCTTAAGATGCTTCAATTCAAAGACCCCTTCTAGCATGACTAACCTAATGAAAATGAGGAGTCAGGCATCTTAAAGGCAAGAAGAGGAGGAGAGTGGAGCCGGCCATAACGCTTGCCTGAGACTTCCTGGCGTGATGCCCCTTCAGACAGCACGGATGGCATCTCCACTCACTCTCCACCCCACTCTTCCACCTCAGGTTTTGGTGAATCTGGAAGTGGGTGGAGTGATCTAGTTTTTGGAAGGCACTCCAATAATACCCAAAGTAGCAAGGTCCACGAGAAAAACTAACATGATGAAAAACACCTTGAAAAGTCGATTTTATGTTCTCCAGGCAGCCTCTGTGATCTCACAAACTCTGAGGCTGCTGCAGGTTTTGTCTATTCACATGAACATCTCCAGGCCATCTCTGGAAGATGACAGCATTTTAGAATTCTAGATAAACACATTATCACCACTGAAGTCAGCCAGGACTGAGGTGGCTCCAGAGCCATCAGATGCCTACTGACTGGGCCATTCATCTTTGTATTCCGGGGGCATGGGAGATGAAGCAGGCAGTCTATAAATATGGAATAAATCAATAAAGCAATACATAAGTGAAGAGTCCTCATAACCAGGAGGTAAAGAGGCCAATTATATGGTGAGAACAGAATTAGTCTTTCTATTCCTTCCTTTTCCACGCTGACTCACAGCCAAGCTGCAAATCGCATTCAATTACATTTACTTTCCTCTTCACAGAAAAAAATCTTTATGAATTCATAAACAAATAGTGTGTGTTAACTAAGAACATTCAAAAATCATGAAATTACGAAAAACATGATGCCTCTTAAATGGGAAAATAAGTAGGTGTGAACATTCTGGGCATACAAAGAAATAGAAATTGCCCCTTTATATCTGTCTGCCTTCTTTGTCATCCTTCAGTGTGAAGGACAGAACATCATTACTTTAACAGCATGGGGCCTCTCCTCCCAGCCACTCACCACACAGCAATCTGCTCAGCTCCAACCCACTGGCACAGGAGATCCTATTAAGATAATCAAGTCTCACTTCCTTAAAAATTCTGATCCTAACATGTATTTATACCATTCATCATTTCACTTCTTTTATAGAACATTAGCTGTGAGGTATCACCAATCACACTGAACAAATTTTACAAGAAGCACATTGTAGTGTTGTCTGGAAACAATTTAATGATAAAGTTTCCAAAAGTGAGGAATAGTGGGTTGTTGCTGTTTGGTTTATTAGCATATACTGTAGGACATTTTTCTAAACTCTTAAAAAAAAACTTGGTCCTGAAACATAAAATCTCTTTCTACCCATCTGAACAGCAACATACTGAGGAGGAAACAAATCTTTGAGACCACCACCCTTTTTTCTACTCTTGATTAAGAAGCTAAGAGAGCAAGATAAACAGTATGCTATTCACTTGAATGCCAGCCACCAAGGGGAGGAAAGGAGTATTTATGCTGGTGCGTAAAGTGTTTAGTGTGCAACTTTTTAATTACTATATCTCTGGTACTATCCATAATATATTCACTAACACAAATGCTCTACAGGGACATTAATCCTCAACAAATACATTAATGCTTCCCTCCTCTCCTCCAAATTCTTATTATGCTGATACGGAGCAAAAATGCTAAGAATTCTCTCCAAAATAAACATTTTATGTCAACAGCCACTTGTTCCACCATCTCCCTTTCTAATTATTTTATGATAACATACTATCTCTACTTAAGTATTTGCTACTACTGACACAAGAGATAAATTTGTAAACAAAAAAAAATTTAAAGGGCTTTGTTTAATGTAACATCTTTTCTGGTATGAAAGCTGGTTTGTGCTACTAAAAAAAGGTGGTTTATGCTCTAAATAATATATTCTATAACTCATTAAATTATGACTCTCTGCACACTTTGCAGTTATAGTATCGTGTATTTTCTGCTTTTTAGAAACCTCAAGGAGTAAGACATTGAGGATGATGAAGATTTTCATTATAGTTGAAGGATGATCCATTTAAGTAATAAAATGGGTTTAATTTCAACTATCCTGCATTTTTTTTCCTAAAAGGTAATGCCTTCTCAGAGAATCCAGAATATGATTAATCTTTGGAGACATGGATAGTCAATATAAGTATCAATTATCTTGTTCTGCTGGAACCTAAGAACACAAGTTCTGAGGAAAAGAAGCTGGCCCAGGGGATATGAGGCAGATGTTGAGTTTCTACCACCATGATGAGAACTTGGTGGGAATCCTGCCAGAGCAACAGGACAATCAAAAAATCAAAAGGAAGAGACTGCTGAAATTCAAACACCAAGAAAAACACAGATATAAATATACTTTGGAGAGCCAAAGGGGAAACCTGAGTCACAGAGCCAGGTCTAGAGCCAAGTAGAGTCAGGATCTGAGTGAAAGATGGAGTGGAAAATGGACAGAATAGAGGGAGAGCATGTAAGACTGGCTCTATGTGTGGGCGGCTGGTACCCAGACTGACCCTGCCTAGAAAACCCAGTGGCAAGATAACCTTTTGAGGCACAGCGAGCTGCCTGCTCCTCCCCTCAAAGGCTGTTGACTGCTTTGTTTTGGGAG